TAATCCAGTGCAGCAGCCCTACAATCTTACATTTGTGAAACAAATAAGTCATTGATTAAGGGTGTGAGGGGAAGGACAATATGTTATTGTGATATTTTTGCATGGCTACACACCGTGCCAACTATCCTTTTTTTTATTGTATAAATTATTAATGTACCAAATACAAATGAAACTTTTGGTAGCCTATAGAATAATAAAATCAACAGTGTCCCTGGAACACTGTGCGACAATAAAAATGATTAGCTAACTGAAAACTTTATCTTATTATATAAAAAAGATGTTAAAAAGTTTTCCTTTGGGAACATTATTTGCACTTGAAAAAAGAAATTAATATCAAGATATCGCAATATGTGTCATCACAATACTCAGCATATCGCAACACGGTGAAAATTGAAATTGTATCATCTCGTGACTAAAGTATCATATCAGTATCGTAGCCAATCTGGTGCGTACCACCCTGATTGTTGACAAGGTTTGATTCAAATCACCTGTAATTATTGAAGCTACTATTTAATACTATCGTACTGATCTGTATTATACTGTAAGGTGCTACAAGATCTTATACTTCTCCTTACTATTTGTAAGTGAGGTATACAAAACTTTAGAAACAGCTTTTGTTATAATGCTGTTTTGTACCATAAAATTGAGGTAACACACAAGTAGAAGTAGTTATTAACCAAATCTTAATATTTTAAGTAATGTAGTATTTAGTGCAGGGCTAGTTTTGCATTGACTTGCATCACCCAGGATTTACTTTTTGCAATCACTCAGTGTATTTTCTGCAATAAAATGAAGTTATTTAAGACAGACTGCTTAACTGACACCTCAAACATTCCTTGTCTATAACTACGATTTTAACACTGGAAAGGACGTGGTCCATACCCAGAGGCGAAACTGACAGGTGTAACTTTACAGCAGGGGGATGTGCCTACTGAACACGACCTAATGTGGATGAATGTGATTCAAGATGTCTTTAATGTAATATGGTGATGAAGCACATAAAACCGAGACTGCACACACACACCAGCCAGCATGCAGGTTCATCTTGTGTTTATGTTGTTGCTATTTAAACTTTCTGTTCATACAGGTAAGCTTTTGACATGCATCTACTTGAACTGTCAGATGATGCAATCTGCTGCTTATGTAGGTAATGCTAGCTAGTTGCTAACTGTACCGACGTTAGTGTTAGCATAAGCTAGTTAAAGCGCAGAGTGCTGGAGCTGCTGTGAGACGTACAACGCAACTTTCACTTCATTCTTACCCCTGAGCTTCCTCTTTAGTCATGTCGGGTTATGTTCTTGAAGAATGAGGACGAAATGTTTCACGGCTGTCTGTCAGAGAGAAGCACCACATCAGCTGTTCACAGCATGGACGTGCACAGGAAGGAAGGACTTGTTTCAGCGGAGCACCAAATGGCGGATGCTGAGGGTTCCGGCAAGAAACGAGTGTCTGACGGGTAGTTCCGGCTGACTTATATTGTTATTCCTGCGCGCGACAAAATAGACAAAATAATGGAAAAAAACCTGAATGGCTTTAGAAAAGGGTTAAATTTATCATTTTTTATATAATCAGATCATATTATGCCAAAAAGCCACATCTGTAATCAACTTGAAAATAAATTCTGGAAATAAGCAGGCTAATTTGATTGGAAGTGAGGGACATTTTCAAATAACATTAGAAAATGGACATTTCTGTAAAAAAGGACCAGATTGAATGTGAATTGATAATCGTGTAAAACTGCAATAAAGGAAAATAAATGGTGTGGACTAAATGCAACCTATGGCAGTATGTAGTGGTTGTTGATGAGGAGGGTGTTTTATTAGGTCAGGGGTCAGTAACCTTTACTATCAACCTTTACTACTCTGCTGTGGGCTATTTATGATTATTTGGTACTTAAACTTTGCAGTTATGGCAGTGGAAGACAACAAATTTGTCCACGCACTTTTATAATTTTTATTTTCCTCTTAGACTTTTCCTTTTGTGGATTTGGAATCCATAGGGAGACTCAAGACTGGCCACTGCTGCAGAGGTTTGGCAAAATGTAGAGAAAAAGACATCTGAACTACATTATTATTGTCATTATTATTTTTATTTTATTTTATTTTATTTTATTTTATTACATTTCATTTCATTTCATTTTATTTTAATCAAAATGTTGTTCATTTTCACGCCATGTTTTTTGTCAAGGCCACAGGGAGCCACTGGAGAGGGGCGTAACAGCCACATGTGGCTCCGGAGCCACAGGTTACCTATAGGTAACAGAGGGAAAAGTGGGTATATTCTCCGATATATTCCAGCTTTTTGGCTGATAGACTGGTGTGCTGAAAAAAGCCAGAAAAAGAGGTGGGAGTACCCCCTGTACCTGTGTATATCCTCCATACACAGCTGAGTACATTGTTTATCAAGGTACAGCATTGTTTGGGTGTTTCTGTTTCAGATGCCAAAAAAATTATAGGGCGGAATATTAGCACCCAACTACCCTGTGCAAACTGTAGTCTGTGGTCTAAAGTATTTGGTTAAGAAGGTTCCCTAATGCTGAAGAACCTTATAATTACATACTAGTTACACTATTTTGTCATTAGATGTATACAAGAAAAAAAACATGCACACAAACACCAGCATGTGTGGCCATGTTTTAGTTTTACCATATCCACATGAACACTAAAACTGACACCCTCCGTGAAATTACTTTCACACCCTCGGTCGAGTGCACTCAGTGCATCCAGGTATCCATTGACCTTTGCAGGAACGGCCAAGCACAGCTAGTGACTGTGGTTTGAATACAGTGGGGGGTCATCAAAGCTTTTCTCAGGCTGTTGGCCACAGGAGCTCCCAGTGCAGGAAACAGCCTTCCTGCTGCTCACTTTCCAACCAAAACAATGTAACCATTAGTGGAGCATGTCACTGCCCAAAAGGAACCTGTGGTATTTGTGTTCCTTTCATGCTCAGTTTGTATTAGCCCTTTAAAATAATCTCTGCACTTACTGCTTCTCATAAATTCAGTACATCTCAACAGCAAAACCTGAATGAGGCGCTGCACATTCTGGACCGTGGTCTCAAGTTGCAGTTAGGAACTTGATGCACACTGGTAATGAATCACCAGAAGACTACATTTCCTGTCCATTTCAACAGCTTTGCCCTTTAACCCATAATGCAAACAAGAAACTCCTCACTACTTCAACATACACATATGAGTTTGTTTTGAATAATATATAAGACGTCAGAAAGGTTGGACTTTTGCAATATTGCACAGGAAGGTGATATTGATGTTTTGCAGGAGGCGATGACTACAGTATCATGAGAATATTATCATGTCAGAAGAGCCTGGTCTATGTAAAATAAACACATATTTAAGCTGATAGAACTGAAGAGGCAGTATACGGATTTAGATGTGTATGTTGCTAAACCGTGAATATTTTCTCATCACACACAGCGAGCAAAGGCTTTAATTATGAATGAAAGGACAACTCATTGCACCCAAGGGTTTATTCCCAAATGGGCTCTGAGTACTGTTTGTGCACTGAAGTGGACACTTTGGATGATAAAGATAAAAGCATTATAGTTTGTTATGGTGATAACGGTTAAGTATTTAGAAAATGGCATGTTGTACATCAATGGGAGCCGAATAATCAGTAAAATTCATGAAAAAAAAATATGGTGAACTGTTAGTAATGTAAAACCACATTCATCTTGTTGTCTTGACCAGCTAGATAGCCTCTGTTCAAATCATGCTTCTGGTTTAATCTCTTTTAAAGTCTTTTGTTGGACAGAAGTTTGCAACAGTAAAGATTTTCTGATTATATTTTATATCTGTGCACTTTTATTTAAAAACATGTACTTAAGATATCCGATGTGTGTCTTAGGTCAATATTAACCTCACATATCAGCTTACATGAAGTACAGTTCTGCATATATACGGTGGTTGATCTGATCCTAAAGTCTCTCACAACATTTCTGGGTGACAGTAAAAGGAGAAGCAGATGAAGACAGATTCATCTCAGCACTTGGAAGTGTTAATCACATATCTGTCTCTGCACAGACTGAGGCATCGCAGCTCATATGCTAATTCCGAATCATCTGGGAACATTTCCAACTGAAAAAAAGCACCTTTTGTTTCATCCTGTGTCACCGTGAGAGACCAGAGCCACAAATTATCCATTAACCTTGTGGCTTGAAGGGGGCACTTCACACCTTCTTTTACACTTAAAGAAATGGAAATGTTGCTCCGTTGGAGTCTTGAATGGATGCCAGCATTGCATTGCAAGGCGGCCATTTGACAACTTCATCTTCCTCAGGATCTATTGTTGCCAGCTTCCTTTGGTCTCCAACTTGAACATCACCCTGTCACCAGTCAACCCAGATTAAATCCTTACTATGTACTGAGAATAGAAGAGCCTTCAGTGAGACTGATGTCAATGTGTGTGCACAAAACGTGTCATTTTTATGTTGGATCTTGTCACTTGAGAATTCTGCAGCTTTATTGCTGATGATATATTGAACGAGTGCTCAACAAAGACTATGTCTGCCTATATGCATTGTCAGAATATACAACCAGTGTCCTGAATGCTATTATTTTTTGTTTTGTGAGCTGGGAGATAGCTAAGTTGACCCACTGACCCACTCTGTGCAGTGAATGAGGATAACACTTGTTTACAAGCCAAACATAATGGAGGCAGTATATCTTGCAAACTGAAAAGAAAGAAAATGAGTCAAAGGAGAACTTAACATGCTATTTTCTTTGTTAAGGAGCCATATGGGTGCTAATTATAACCAAAGATTTTAGCTTTTGTGTCATGGCTGCTTAAGATGTAAAAGTGCACAGATGTTCCTGCAATTACAGGGCCTGCCTGCTCAGTCGTCCTTCTGCTTTCTAGGCAGATCAGGTGGAGACATTTGTGTTAGGACCCCCCCTCCACCCCACCCTTCCAACACACACACCTCATCCCCCACCCCCTGAAGGAAGGAGGAGCTGGTTTTAGCTGAAAATGCACACCACACAGTTGTATTAGAAGCACTAAATTTTTTATTTTTCCATAAAAAAACAAATATAAAATGGTTAAAAAAAAGCAGCATGCATTTTCTCTCTTTTACAAAACTTCCAGTGTGAACGACAGCAATAAATAATAGCTTTCAGATAGTCACACAACTTAAGTGCGAACACACAAATGCTACAAACTATATACAGGTTTCCAAGAGCAGCTACCATCCCTAAAAACAGAATAGGGCATCGTATGCCTGAGCTTTAATACAGCAGCACAGATTGTAAAGATGAAAACACAGAAAATGAATCTTGATTGTAAAGCTGAACGAGTGGAAATGAGGCACTGCCTGAGGACACAATCTGCTTTGAGGGACATAAAACTTGCACAAATTGCGATAAAAACACAAGACACACAATCGCAGTTAACAAGGCAAACAAATCAAAAAGTATAAAAACTCTTTCTTTTTACATCTGTACAAAATGTAGTAAGTTCTTTGAAACTGAAGCTTAGTTTTTCTTTCTCTCCTGAGATTATCAAGTCACAGACTCAGATTTTGACTGTTTGTTAACTTGACAAAACACTTGAGGACTCGGACTCTGTTGACACAGATGAAATTGGCCCTCGCTTTTTTGTCATGAGAGTCACTTTCTGACTTGATCTGCTGCTGGCTGTCAGTGCACTCCTGGCCGATTTCTTGAATTTAACTCCCAGGAAAGCATAGAGGATGGGGTTCAGGCAGCAGTGAAAAAAGGCCAGCGCCTCTGTGATTGAAATCCACTTGGACAGTGCTTGCTCAAGTTCACAAGAGGGAGAGATCACTTTCAGAATTATCAGGTTGTTCAAGAAGATGCCAACACAGTAGGGCAGCCAGCAGGTGAAAAAACAAACAATGAGGATGACCGTGGTCTTCAGCGCTTTCTTCTTCAGAGTCTGGCCCTTGGCACCTCGCGATAGCTTGGCGATGATGATGCAGTAGCAGATGAGGATGACCAGACCGGGCAGTATGAAGCCCACCAGGATGTGCTGGAAGTTGAAGGCAACTATCCAATTTTGACTGGTTTCTTGCGGATAGATGCGCTGGCAGCTGATCCGGGAGTCTGCAGTCTCCATGGTCTCGTCGAAGATGAGAAAGTTTGAGAAAGACCCTGTGTCCAGCGTCGTGGCAAACACCAGGTCAGGTACAGTGAGCACAGCTGCAGGCAGCCACACACCCACATAGATCACTCTGTTTGCAAGCAGCTTCCTTGTGGCTTGGCTGTTGGTGGCATGCACAACCGCCAAATATCTGTCCAGACTGATGAAGGCCAGGATCAGTACGCTGCTGTACAGGTTCAATGTGTAGATCATGTGCACAAACTTGCAGAGGAAACCTCCAAAGTACCAGCTGCTGGCTGCATCCACGGCCCAGAACGGCAGCGTGATGACGAAGAGGAGATCAGCCACAGAGAGATGGAGCCGGTACTTGTCTGTCATCGTCTTAACTTTTTTCTGGAAGCCCATGACAAAAACAACTAATCCATTGCCAGAGACTCCCAGAATACAAATTATTCCGAAAACTGCTGGCAGGAAAATCTTGTTGAATTCGCTGCTGAGCGCTGTGCTACATGGCTCCTCATAGTCCATGATGTAGTCTACAGACTCCTCTGACATGTTGTCAGTACTGTTGTCATCAAAGTCATATGAATAGTTCAACTGCAAGAAAAAGAAATGGTAAAGTTAGACGTAAGTTGGGATCTGGTCAGTCGTTCACATTACAAAACCCAATTTCTCTTAAAAACATCTTTTAACTTGTATCTAAAGTTGTAATTGTGTAAAAAGTTTCAATTGTACTTTTCTCCATATCATTTCTTTAATAAAAGTGTTCATTTAAAATAAAAAAGCACAATGAATAACACCACTATTAGCACATGTGATGCTTAAACAGATCAAACATTAATTGTCTTTCAACAGCCTCAAGCAAAAACAGATTAATCTACCACATGTTCAAAAAGTAGCAGTAAAGAAACTCACCGTCATGTTCAACAATCTGTCCATACTCTAATGCTCGGACCAGTGTGGGCTCGCATGAGAAGCAGGGTGATCAGTTTGTTGCCTGTAAGAAAACAAGTCATTATATACCACCGGTGCTTCTGACCCCTCCCCCGACAGGAGGAGGAGCAGCACGCGCTCGTCTCCAAAAACGGGTTCACTATATAACCAACTACTCTGCTTGTGGTGTGGGCGTCAGTTTGTGAAACTTTTTGCCCCAAAAAACCCGTGTCTGTTATTTCATCAACCTAAAAAAGAAAAGCTGAAGCAAGTCTCTGGAGACAGCGTGGAAAGGTCTGTTTGTTTAAGAGTGAGTCATTATATTAGGTCTACAAAGGCCACTGTGACAATTATTTAAGGACAAATGAATTAGATTTCTCTAGAACTGATTTCTGGTGATTTTTGCTCTCCTCTGTATCAACTTATTACATGCAACAGGAAGTCAAAATCTTGACAAACAAGAGCTGTCCTAATCCTGTGACACATTTGGGGAAGAATCGCCTGATAGACAAACAACATGACACTGCAACAACTGTTAAAGAGATGCCACTGGAGTCAGAAAGCACATCAGGATCACAGATACACTATCACACAGGAATTTGATAAATATAATAAGAAATATTCATATTGATAATATGATGATTAACTTATGCACTGAAGAGTCTTGCCATGTTACTACAGTCGAAAAACATGCTGCAAAGTTCAAAATGGTAACTGTTATTAATACTACATTACCAGTGGTGGATGACGTATTCAGATCTTTAACTGAATTAAAAATAATAATACAGTGTTGGATACTCCGTTACACGTAAAAGTCCTGCATTCAAAATCTCATTAAGTAAAAGTACAAAAGGATCAGCATCAAAACATACTTAAAACAGATGATGATACTATATAGATGATTTCAACTACTTCATATACTGCCGAGCAGCTTTAATCTATAATAATATATCATCATTTACTTGTTGATTTATTTTACTATATAATGACGAAAATTCTGTGTGTGTGTGTGTGTCTGTTCCGCGTTTTTCTCCTCACTGACTTGGTCAATCCATGTGAAATTTGGCACAGTGGTAGATGGTCATGGGAGGATGCGAATGAAGCAATATTACATCAACTGGCCAAAGGGGGGCGCTATAGCAACCGATTGAAATTGCAAACTTTGAATGGGCATATCTCATGCCCCGTATGTCATAGAGACATGAAACTTTGCACAGAGATGCCTCTCCTCATGAGGAACAAATTTGCCTCAAGAATCCATAACTTCCGGTTATATATATTTTCCACCATTTTGAATTTTTTGAAAAACACTTAAAATCGATCTCTTCCTAGGAAGTTTGACCGATCTGCATGAAACTCTGTGAACATAATCTAGGGACCAATATCTAAAGTTCCCTCTTGGCATAAGTTGGAAAACTTACTAAAACTGAGCTTCTATAAGGCAATGAATATTGCGGAGGGCGTGGCTCATCACATAAAGGTGTATAACATCTCAAGGGTTTCACCGACCACCACGCAACTTTGTAGGCATATGACCACACATAATCTGAGGGGACCCCTCCATTATTGACCCCATCAAACAAAACGGGGGCTCTAGAGAGCTAATTTCTTATCTAGGCCTAACCGCCATATTGATTTTTACTAAACTTGGTAGATATGTAGAACAGGATGCCTCAATGTGACTGGAGAAATTTAACTCTAATTGGCAACTGGGTGGCGCTATAACAACAGAAAAATGCTTAAAAATGGCTAAAATTTGGTATGACTAAGTCATGGTATGGTATGCTGTACTCAATAGGACTAGACTAGTAGTTTGTATTATTAATCTTTATCTGCAAAGTAACAGGTAACTTCAAATAAATGTAGTGGGGGGAAGTATAATATTTCCCTCTCAAATGTAGTGTTATAGAAGTATACACTCATTAATTAATTCATTTACATTCATTTACCATAACCACTTATCTTGTTAGGACGGGGGGGCTGGAGCCTATCCTAGCTGACATTTAAAGCAGCATAAGATGAAGATACTTAAGTACAAGTACTTCAAAACTGCACTTGATTAGAGTACTTGAGAAAATGTACTTAGTTACATTCCACCACTGTGTATTACAGCTGTCCATCCAGGTGAGTTATTGGAAAATTAAAGCAATTTTAGGATAACACATGGTTCCCTGTAATTTATCACCAGCGATGAAGTCTAACATTTTGCACCTCCCTCCCCATTCTGCATGAAGCGAGGACTGACATTTAGATTGGTGTTCAGGGACTTGTCACAGCCTCATATTTCTTCCTACAAATCACTTTATAACTGTGTCTGGTGACAGTTTTCATCAGCGGAGGTCTGAATCCGTCCTCACCTTTATACACACCCTGTCTCTTCTCAAGTGCTGTTATGTCTATGCCACCAAGTGCTAAATGACCCCCAGTGGATTTGAAAAGAAACCACACACCCTGTAATGTGGGATTTCTATCAAACGGCTATCGAGCCTCAGAGTGTAGAGCATTCATTTTCTCACAGCTTCACCGACCCTCTCTGATTTCAGTTAAGGTAGTGATGACAGGGCCGGGCCAAACGAAACTCCCTGCCCCTCTTTTCAGACTGAGTTGACAGTTGTCTGAAACTGAATCTCCTGCATGTGGCATGCAAATACTGCCTCATGTCTTTGATATATGAGAACAAGGATAGATTCAATGAGTCAGTCGGCATCATTGATTTCATTGATGTCCCCTGCTTGTGATAAAGAGGGATTTTTAGAGCTGCATGACAACATAACATTTTGGAAACATCAGGAAGTCAGCACATTTTCACATTTGTTTCTTGTCTTGATGACATTTATATGGATTTATGGTGCATTAGCAGATAATGTTTTTTTCTTTTTGTATATCAGCATTGAAAACATTTCTCCACTGGCTATACTGTTCCTGTCAAGCGTAGTCAAAGGGACAGTTCACCCCAAAATCAAAAATACATATTTCCTCTTACCTGTAGTGCTATTCATCAATCTAGACTTGTGAGTTGCTGAGTGTTGGAGACATCGACCATAGAGGCATCTGCCTTCGCTCCAGTATTATGAAACTAGATGGCACTCAGCTTGTAGTGCTCAAAGTTGAAAAACTCAACAGCGATGTCTCTTTCCAAAAACTCAGCTCAGCATGCAGAAGGACATGTGCATCTACTAATGGACGATGTAATGTTAGCTAGCTCAGTGCTGCTAGTTGAGCTAGTAGTAGATGCATGCTTCCTCCTGCATGGTGATGCGGGTGGTGGATATAGTTTGGTAGAGTTGAGTGCCATCTAGTTCCCTCATATTGGACAGAAGGCAGACATCTCTACAGCCAATATCTTTAACATTCGGCAACTCACACCAAAATGGATTGATAAATAGCACTACTTGTAGGAGAAAACATGTATTATTGATTCTGGGATGAACTGTCCCTTTGATTTGGTTGATTGAGGTTTTGCAACTTCAAACCTCTCTGTTAAAGGCAGTACATCACAAAACCTCATAGCCTGAAAGCCCCCAAAACTCACCTCACTTCACAGCTGAGTTCATAACATCAGCAGTGACCTGTGATAACAGTTTATACGGTATTATGCTCACAAAAATGAGGAAGTTTAGCAAGTGATTGCCGTCATGGCTGAATCATAAAAAAACCCTGCCATTATTAACATGGAAAACCACTGCTATTTGTGTTGTGACTATACAGAGTAGCACTGAAAAGATATTATCTCCGATGCAAAATAGTTTCATATGATTATAATATTTTTGACACTGAGCTGAATAATTTAAAAAGGCTCTTTTGCTCCACTCAATTAAATCTGTCAGCACTTCATGAAGGATTTGCTGTTCCAAACTCCTGGTGTCTGGTACAACTAAAATCCCCTGGTGTGAGGATACATTTTTCTTTTCCTTTTGAAATAAGGGTAGTTAGCATGGGACACATCTGCAAAAACCCAAGGAAACACTTACAGAGTTTGATTTACAAGCAGTCCATTGCAACACCACACCAATTTCAGTGCTGAGTAGAAAAAAATGCAGACAATGAACAAATAAGGAGCTCGGTGATTATTACTTTAATACAATAACAAAACATTAATGAATTAATAATCTGATAATCCACAGATGGTTGTAGACTAATCCTGTGTGTGTGTTGTCTTCAGATCCTCCTGCAGTTGGACTCCTGAGGAGAGGAACAGGGGGAATCTGCAGCTCAGAGAAAGGCCACTGTATTGGTATGATGCTCTTATCAACGTCATTCAGACACACAGACAGTTTCTCTGTTATCTGTCTGCAAGCAGAACTCCTGGTTTTCATTTGTGTGTTGAATCACATATAGTATTTTGGTCTTTTACATTCCCCAAATCCCTTTCACCACAGAGGGGAATTCCACTAACTCAGTTTCTGAATTTTTTTTTTTTTCATTTTCAGTCGTATTTCTCCTGAAGCACTCATGCGTTTTTAAAAACTACACATTTCACTCGAATTCCCCAAGGTTGTTTTTAAATTCAGTACTATGTTTTTAGAGTTGTGCGGTCTTTGAAATGGTGCAGTTGCATGGTATTGGATCACTTTGGCATCCTTACATGAAACATACATTTGTAAGCGAAATGTCTCTCATATTTACAACTCAACAAACAGCACATCACCACCAACAATGCAGCAGTCATGGGATTTTTTTTCCTTCTTAAATGAGAAATGTTTACTATAAACTCATTGTTGTAATTTATTTTTTATAAACAGTCCTTAGAGTGCATGAATCAAAACTCAGTGGCATGTGTAGGGATTTTAGGAAAATGCTGAAATTGGATGTTGAATTACAAAATCAGGCCTGGATTCATCAAAATACTATAGCTTTGGTACAAATAAATGGATGGGTGACACAAACTTATTAATGTTTTCACCTGTTTTGCAGTATCTTTGATGATTTTTGATGATTTTGATGGTTTATTCAACATACCATCATTACATTTGAGAAAAGGTCAAAAAGAACCATTTCCAGTGCAACACTGGCACCCTGCCTTGTAGCTTTTTAGGTGTAATCAGTGCACTGCAATCAATCTGC